TCATCAGAACCCGCGTTCAGTTCTGCGGAAGAACTGAACGGGTTCTGATGAGAACAGTGTAAGCGTTCAAGCAAACCACTTCTGAAGATGCAAGCCACTCGTGCTTGCGAAACGTCAGGAAGAAATTCTACCGAACGACGGCCTAAAAACCCGAAAAACCCGTTAGTTTCAAAAAGTGCTCAGTTCAAAAGGCACATGTCCATTTTCACATCAGAGCCAACATTTCACACCATACAACCTGAAACATGCAAAATTGGCCAATTTTCTCGCCTCCTAATGCACCATTTATGGGATATTAATTGGCCATTTACCACTGTTCGGTGTCAGTGGCGCACCGATGAAAATTTCCCAATAGAATTGATGTTAAACTATTCATTATAGGTGGCCTGCATTTATTGATTGTAGTAAATCTGCTTGCTTTCGCCAGCCAATAGCTTACCAGTCTGAATATTATATGAGAAGTAAAGCCGTTATAATTTCCCATCATAAATTCGAGCCGTGTGTTTTGCAATATTCGAACGATTTACATGGAATACGGGATTTGGACGATTGTTTCGTTTGATATGAAGATCTTTACGGTTACGGCCGTTGTACACGAATGCCAATAAACCGTCACAAAAGCTCAATAAATTTTCAACTGTGATTTATTGGAGCGTTGGCCCCGCAAATCCGATTGAAAATCAATATTTTCAAGGGAACCTGCATGGTACCATCAAGCTCGTTTGTCGATTTTCTCTTTGTTTTGTGCTAAATACGGTTTCGGAGCGTATTCAGGTCACAAATACAAAACCGCATTTATCAGCGTTTATTATAGAAAAGGTCATCGAAAAATGTCAGCGTCGGTTCGGACCTAATTTTTGATGAATGCGAGGCGGCGAATGGCTCGACATTTCGCGAAATTAAACACGAACCTTCGATTGCTTATTGGACGTTTTGAGCCAAAAATTCAGCTCATATTCTACACTAAAAAGTCTATTAAACCAAACTTTTACCATCAAGCCTCACGCATACTTTTATTTATGCCGTTTAAAAAGTTCCATAACTTGCTGATGCATGACTCCCACTTTATTTTCTTGTGTATTTTACTGTCTTGACCTATTTAGTAGAGCATTGTTTTTAAAAGGAATAATCGCAATAGTTATAGCGACTGATGAGATTTTTCGAAATGTTTCTGCACATTTACGCTTGTGTCTATTTAGGTCAGAAAATGCTGTTTAAAGTCTCAGAGCGGTTTTCAAAACCCGCGTTCACTTCGATTTCTTGCATTTTGCCTCAAAGCTACAAAATTTTCTAAATCGATATTTTATATAAAAAAAGTGCGTATTTTAATGCTCTATCCGGCAGAGACAAATGCACCTTTACAGTTCAACTGGTTCTCGAAATACGAGCCAAAGACTAAGAGACTAAACATTTTGTAAGCGACCTGGGAAAACGGAGCAACCACGGCGACAGCGGCAACACTGGTGGGCGGGAGTGTCAACATCGGGGCTACTTTATGGTTGTGACAGGAGACGGCGCTGCGGTACTTCCGGGCAACAACACAGAACATCCGTGGGGTTGCCAGGGGAGATGGATTATTATTGATTTGATGGTGACGGTTTAAGGCGTTCCTTAAAGTTATTGAATTTTGCGTCGATCGCATGCTTCCTTAAATTTAACTCTATCAATTTATAAAATGTTTAACAATTGCTGTCTTTGGGTGCCGCGCTTAAAGTTGTCCGAAAAACCAACAAAATTGCAAAGTGCGCGCTTCGCTCTGGTACCTTTGAAGCATCAACCGCCTACCTCGTACCTCAGAAAAGGGGTAGTCCAAACTGCCAAACAGATCGCGTTCGTCCAGGTAAAACTGCGTGTTGGCCTCCCATTGCTTGTCCTTGATTTCAAAGTTACAAATGTGATGGCAGCGATCGAGAACGTCCTCCTCCTTCTTGCCAACCTCCTCTACTTGGCGGACGAAGCTGCATCGTCGCTCCAACTTGCCATCCTCCGGGACGAAAATCTGAGGCAGCTGATTGTGCAGCGAAAGAGTCGACTGGTTCTCGACATGGTTCTCCTGGACGAGAGTGGTGGGAGACAGAGGCAGTTGGGGCAGATGGTGGCTGGACGCATGGATGGGATGAACCGGGATGCAGATGGAGGGACTTTCGCGGATTCGGGCTTTGGCGTGCGGCTCTTTCAGGTAGTTGGAGGTGCTGTGCCGCCTCTCGTTTTGACTGGGCGGCTTCAACACGCCCCTCTCCACCCGGGATAAGCGAGGAACAGCGGCATCCGTGTAATTGTGGAACTGTTTAGCTTGCGGGGGTTTAGGCGCGAGGTCTTTTTGCGCTTTCAGTTGCTTAGTTTTCTGTTGGCGCTGTTTCTGGCGAGCTTGACGGCTGGCAAGTGAAGCACCCCCTGCAGCTGCATACATAGTTTTAATTCTGGCGGAGTCCTAAAACGCCACCACTTGACCGGAAGAGGATGAACAAGAAAATAGTGATTGCTTTCGGGTAGTTTTGATTCGTCGTCGTTGCTTAGTAGTAAATGATCACAACCTGAGCATTGAAACTCCAAAGGAACTAAACTAGCTAGAACTAACAGAGTGTACAGAATAGAAAGATTGATTGTACTCGGTTGAAAAGGGGGGCCGGACGAGTCCACTAGTCATTCTTAAATTTAAGCTTGATTTTCGTGAATTTCACTGCTTTCGTCTGTTTCGAACAATTCTCCAAGTAATGCTTTAACATGCTTCCAAACAACATTGATACAAAGTCGGCCTATGAAAAAGTGTGCTTCCCAAACACTCAACAACTAGTGTATAACAGCATGCTCGGCTCGCTTAACAGTATATATATAATATTCATATTGTCCGTTCGTTTTAAGCCTAATTTAACGAGTATTGCTTGTCGCAGCAGATAACTGATGTTGCGCTACAGAGTTAAAAACTAAGCAACTGAAAACGTTTCGTATTGCTTTTTGTTCCGCCAGCTAAACTAGATTAGGAGTTGGGGTGAAATCGAGTAAAAACCGTTTAATTCAGGGAAAAATGGAAGATTCTTATGGAAATCAGTGGCGCGGGAGCAAGAGAAAATTAAGGACAGGAATATTCATGGTTTGCCTTTCTGAAAATAGCAAAGAACATATTTTGTGCGAAACTTTCTTAACATTGCGAACAAGCTCCATAAAGCAAATTCAATGCGAGAACATGCGCTATTAGCATTTTAAACGTGCCATTCCATTTCAGTCATGCAAAACGCTCACTAAGTACCATTCTGCCTCATTATTCAGCCATTTGTTGCTGAGAGTTCGGAAAAACCTCTACTTGTAAAGCTCTACATATATTAAACAGCTTGCAAACAGGGGGCAAAAGTTTTTTTATATATAGCTTTAAAATAGCCCAATAATTCCCAGCAACAAGAAACTTCAACATGCCCAAACACACCCTTGACTAGACCGCGCCTTCGGCTCTATGGTGCGAAAGCACGCGAGTTTATCTTTGAAATAATCGAAAACTGCAAGACGATTATCCATAACCGTTGGAGTAACAATTTTCGTCACTTAAAAATTATTTTCTGGTTGAAACTACTGGGTTTTTAGGCCGTCGGTCGGTAGAATTTCTTCTTGACGTTTCGCAAGCACGAGTGGCTTGCATCTTCAAAAACGGCCTAAAACCCCATTAGTTTCGAGGAATGGCCTCGAAAGTCTATCTCTTTTGATATTTAATTTAATTAATTGCGAAAGGAAGCAATTGCGAACTTTGAACGTTAATTTTATTTTCAAATCTGGACTATGATGAAATCAGCAGACGGCGGCTCTCCGATGTAAACCGACTCATTTGCACGGTATTGATTGGACCACCCCTGAATTTAGACAACACTGCATACAAGGTTTGAGTGAGGTTGGACCGACATCGGCGGCTCAATCCCACAAAGAATCAGACTTTTACGGCGCGAAAATATAGCGAAAATGCTGATAACGAGATGTGATTTGCTAACAGGCAGTTTACGGTGAGTAAGCTAATGATTTCGCCCATTTAAGGGTGGGTTTTGTCAGAGTGTGTCGAAAGCACATGTTTCCACCGCATAATTGGGTTCGTTTACACCGCAGTCACTCACGCAGTTTATCAATAGCTACATTTTTTTCCAGTTTTGATTGTGAATTAATGAGATGAGTTTTTGGTTCCAGATAACGCAGCAATGGGGGACAAACTGAAGCGATCCAACATTGCCAAACTGATCTACTTTTCCCGCTCGACTGATATTTTCACGAATTTGGCGCTCGAGGATTGGCTGTACACCAACCGGAACTTCACCAATCAGCCCATGTTGATGTTGTGGCGCAACAAACCGTGCGTGGTGATTGGCCGACACCAGAACCCTTGGCTGGAAAGCAACTTTGCGATGTTGCCCCAAATGGGTGCCGAATTGGCGAGAAGAAACAGCGGCGGCGGCACGGTGTACCATGATATGGGCAATCTGAATTTAACTTTTTTCACCAGCAGGGACAGCTACAGTCGCAGACGAAACTTGGAACTTTTATCAAGGTAGCAAAGAAGTTTTTCGTAATTTTTCGCCTTTTGCATCGCTTTTGTACTAGAATCTATTGACCAAAAGCACAGGGCGGATCCAGCCTTTTTTTTCTCCCTGGGGGAAGGGAGAAAAAATTCAGTCTTCTGTTGTTTATGAAATTAGAAAAATGATCGTCGTTTTGTGCAAGGGTGGCGCAAGATTATTGCAAAATTTTATGTTTTCCGTCCCGTTTTGCATGTTCCTCGGAAGCAAAATCAGCAAGAA